CACCGCCGCCGCCGTGACAAAGCAGAGCGGGCGCAGCCCGGCCCCGCCGCGCCGTGGGGACACCGGAGGGACCGGGGGGAAGCGGGGGGCAGCGGGCCGGGCTGGGGAGGCGCGTCCTCCCCGCACTCCTCCGCAGCGTACGGTGCGCCCCCCGCCCCGTCCCCCCGCAGCCGCGGGGGCCGCTCGCTCGCGCTCCTCTTTTTCTCTTTGCCCGTTCCCGTGGCTCCCACCCGCCCTCCATCCCATTTTCCTCTGGAATCCAAAGTTTTCCCCGCAGCCAAGCAGGAAAGTTGGAGCTCAGCACCGCTGCGAGAGCCGGGGCTGAGGGTCCCGGTGTCCCGGGGGTGGCCGGTGCTGGGGTCCCACCGGTCCCAGGGGTGCCCGTGACAGCCCGGCCTCGCCCCACGCTCCCCCTCTTGCATAACTGGGGCTGCTTCTTCCGAAGCCGCGACGCCCGGCTGCGGAGTTTGGCTGTGACCGGGCCTGGTGGCACTGGGAATGTGCTTATCCAGCCACCGGGCCGTCCGTCCCCCCGTCCGTGTGTCCGTTTGTCCAGCCTCCCCCCATCGGTCCGTCTAGCTCCTTGCCAGCCGCTCGTTCCCAAGCCGTGCACGTCGCGTTCCCGGCCCTTATTGATCTATTCAGTAAATACTTGAGCTCGTCAGCTCCATGGCCGGGCTGGGAATGTGCGAGGGGCCGCTCTTGGCAGCGCCCGTGCTCCGCGCTGGCAGCCGATCCAGCCGGGAACCGGCGGCCGTGGCGAAGTTCTCGCAACGCTTGGACGCACAGGGCTGTTTTTCCCTTCAAAAGCAGGGAAATGGAGGGGGGGGGTCTCGGCTTTCCTGTGATGGATTCCCCTCTGTCTGCATGGGGATGGCCTGGTGAAATGAGAGGCCAGAATGATGGATGAACGACAGGGTTGGTTTTTGTTGGTTTTTTTTTTTTTGTTTTTTTTTTTTTTTTTTGAGGGAGGTTTTTCTGTCCCATTTCTTTGCCCACCTTGAAGTAAAGCGAGAGAAGGGATTTGGTGTCGTGGCAGTGGCAGCATCTGACCCGTCACCGGGTCGGAGGGATGGAGGAGGAGGAGGAGGTTTGGGCAAACGCCAGATCCCTGCCCTAGATTCATGTCTGGGGCTGCAGGAGACCGGGGCCTGTGGTTTCCATCCTCCAGCACCTCCTCACCGTACTGGGGGTGCAGACGCTTGATCTGTGTCCCTTGGAGGGAGGTGACAGGAGTGGAGCAGCTCAGGGCCCCCCCCTTGGTGGCACCTGCAGGGCTGATGGAGCCGCTGGCACGCGCCCGGTGAGCTCAGCAGTGCAGGTGGCCAACAGCTGAGCCCTCTGGGGTCACCCCTGCAGGGAGCTGAGGTCTCGGAGGCATCATCCCCGCTCGGAGGTGGCTCGGAGCAGCCGGCGGATCCAGAAGTTGGTGGGGGCGGAAGGGAGGCATCGCTCATTGCATAAGCTGCGTTGCCTTTGGAAACGAGGCTGCGGAAAGATGATGAGCTGGAGGGAAGTTCCTCCATCCTCTTCTCCACACCCCAGGAGATGAAGTGGGGCACAGACACCCTTTCCTCCTGGTGTACGTCCCCCTCCCGAGGGGTTCCCCTTTGGGGTTTGTGCTGGGGGACGAGGTGCTGTTCCACCACCTCGGGATGCTGAGAGCTGAGTGAGCCTGTGGGTGGGAGGATGTGGAGACATGTGGCGGATGTGGAGGCACCGCAAGCATGTGGTTGGGCTGGTTAGAAGGCAGAATGTGCCACCAAGGTGACACCTGAGCTGGAGCCTGGTGGTCCTGGCTGGGCTCTGGTTTCCCTGCTGGATACAATGGGGCTGTGGGAGATGCCAGGATATCACTGGGAGCAGGGTGCAGGTCCCCATCCTTGTCCGGAGAGCCGATTCCTCACACTCACTGCCTCTGTTTGCAGCTCTGGAAGCTCTTTGCTTGTTTCTGGAGAACAGGAGGACAAAGTCCAGCCGTGGGGTGGGAGGAAGTTCTTCCATGGGGGACAAAGGGCACTGGTGTGCTGCTCCTGTCTGCCTGGTCCTCCACTGCTTTCCGGGGTGGTGTGGGGCACCCCTGGGCCCTGTGGTGGCAGAACCCCAGGAGCGGAGTGAGGGCAGGCTGGGGTCAGTCACCCTGTTCCTGTTTTGGAAATACCTGTGGTTAAGAGTGGCTGAGGTGTTTTGGTGCAGTACTTCCCTCTTGCCCTCTTGGTGGTCTGGCATGTCCCGTTGTGTGCCCATGTGTGTTCCCATGTGTTCCCGCGAGTGCCTGTGTGTTCCCAGGTGTTTTCCCGTGTGTTTTTCCGTGTGTTCCCATGCGTGTGCACACGTGTGGGTGTGCACACGCCACTTCCCTAAGCGTGCACGGACATGCCTGGAGCTGCGCTGGGTTCAGTGGAGGTGAAGAGTGGAGGTTTGGGGTGCTGGGAGGAGAAGGCAGCAGCTGCTGGAGGGGCCGTCCCTGGGCTATGACTGAGGGTTCCTCTGTGCAGTGTCCAGAGGGGTGTCCAGCATTTCTGTGTGGAGCATCCCAGCAGGACACTTGGGCTTCCAGTAGCCCCGTGGGGCTCTGTCCTGGCCTGAGAGCAGGTGAGAGCACACCTGGTGCTGCTGTGGTGTCCGGTGAGAGGGCTGGGCTCTCCATCCCACGTGCTCCCTGTCCGTGACAAGCACTGATGTCCAGAGGATGGGGCAGCGCTGGAGCATCCCTGGCAGCAGTGCCGGGTTTGGGGTGGAGCCGAGGCGTTGCCTCCTCGCCACTTCGGAAGCTCCTGAGGCGCAGTGGGCGGTGCGGGGGTGGGAGCAGCTGTGGCAGCCCCCTCGCCTTCGGTGTCTCAGCCCCACCACTCGCTCCTCGTGTTCTCTCCCTGCCGGTTCCATGTGCTCCGGGGGAGCCTGCGAACCGGGAAGGAGCGGGGGCTGCTCCAGCTGGTGATGCTTTTCCTCCAGTGTTAAGTACTGATTGGGATGATGGCGAGCAAAACCGCCCAGATCCTCCCTGTGCCTCCAAGGTCCTGGTTCCTGGAGCATCCTCCTCTGGAGGAGCTGGCTCCAGCTGGTGTTCCATGGTTCTTCTTTGCCCCCAGCCCGTGCCTGAGCCGTGGCTGCCCAGTGGGGCTGTCCAGGCTCTGCTTCACTGCACGGCCATTCCCATCTCCTCACAGGAACAGCAGGATTGGAGCAGAAAATCAGTGACAAAATTAAGGGAAAAGCTGCGTAAACCAGCTGCTGGGTGGGGTCCCAAAAACAGCCCTGGAGTCGGCCAAGGGGACGGGGTGGTGGCACGAGAAGCTTTGAGGAAGGAGGATGGGCTCCCAAAATCCATCCTCCCGCTGCCTGGGATGAGGGTGTCTGGGGAAGAACCACGGTTCCTTCCCCCTCCAGGAGGGCACGGGGGGACCTGGCTGCCCCCCAAGGTTGTGACAACGTCCAGGTCACCTCCTACTGCTCACTGAGGTGGGGAGGAGGATGGAGGGTGGGCAGGGCGAGGGCCAGGAGCCCTTTGGGCAGAAACTGGGAGAACTGGTAGCATCTCTAGAGGTGATGGTGGTGGCAGGGTGAGGACATTGGGCACTGGGGTCTGTGCCAGCACTCGCCTGCCCCGTGGCTGCCCAGTGCCTCCCATGAGGCTCATCCTGGTGCAGCAGCACTGGTGAGGAGGGATCTGCTCTGGCTGTCAGGTGGATCCTGCTGCCGAGGATTTGCCACCATCTCGTGGGCTCTGGGATGCTCCACAAGGAATGGGACAGCTTGTGGAGTCCCTGCCTGCCCCTGGGGATGGTGTCCACACCGGGGTTTGGCTGCCCTGAGAGGCAGCAGGAGCTGTGCCCATGTCTGTGACCCCCATGGCATTCCAGGAGTTTGGCTGTGCCTTTGGGGAGCTTTCCCAAACCCTTGGATGGTCTTTTGGACAGAGCCTCTCCAGAACGGTGCAGGGAGCACGTTGTTCTGCAAATGTCCTTTGCCCAGCTTCCCCGAAATCACAGCCAGGGCCGGGCCCTCGGGAGCCATGGAGTGCCTGGGGAGAGAGGGGGGGACACACAGGATGTGCCACATCCTGCTGAGTCAGCACGTCAGTGAGCCCACAGCTTTGTCATGGGGCAGGAGGTTCCTCTTCCAGGCACAGAGATGATTTCAGTTCCCAGATCCACTCCAAGCACTTTCCTGGTGCAGATAAATCCTTTCTCTGTGCCCCCCAGACCTCCCAGCCCTGCAGGGTTCTGAGCCCAGAGTCTGCCAGAGCTGCATGCCAAGCCCAGAGTCTTCTCCTAGCTCACCCCAACAAACCGTGGGGCTCCACCGAAGTGCCTGGGATGAATCCAGTGGTCCCAGGGTTGGGAAATGGGCTCCTTGGAGTGGGTGCTGATCCCAGGAGTGGCGGCTGGCTTGGACTGTGAGCAGTGGATGCATCAGCGTGTTTCCTTCCCACAGTCCTGCCTTTGCCAGGCAGACAGGACCCTCCTTGTGCTTGGGATGAATTTTATCTCCATCACCTCCCAGAGAGTGTTCCAGCTGTGTTCCCATGGACATCCAGGGACTTGGGCTTGCTGGCCGATGGCCTTTCCAAGCACCCAGAGACGTTTTGCATCCAGCGCTGCCATCCTCAGGCTCTGCCAAACGGAGCATCTGCCCCGGCTGCAGCTTGTTTTCCAGGGGATGCTTTTCTCCACTCTCCTTAGGATTTTGCAATCCAAGGCCACCTCGAGCTATTTACAGCCCAGGTTTTGCTGTTGACTTAACTTTCCAGCCCTTTCCACGCTCCTGGGCAGCCCGACCTGCCGGCTGCGGCCGCACCAAATATTTTCAGCATTTTCTAATTCGGCTCAAACTCGTTGTTTTCTTTGCTCTCTGACTCTTATTTTTGAAGGAAAAGCCACAGGGTGGGCCGTGAGGGCTGTTCTGGATCTTATTCCATCGTGAGAGGTTGCGTTCCCCAACGTGGCCCGGCCATTTCTAGGGCTAAATATAGAATCCAGTGTCCTTCCTGAGCCAGGGAACGGAGCAGGCTGGAGCTGCAGTCATGCAGATGCTGTGCAGGATCACAGACGGTCCCAGCACTGCTCGTGGGGTTGGCAGCAGAATTGTTGGATAATGACCTTGCTGGCAGCTCTGAGCTTCTCCGGTGGGACCGTGCCTGCAGTGACACCGAGGGGAGGGATGGGAAGAGCATCCCGGGCTCCAGGGAGTGTCAGGAAGGTGAGAGCAGGTCTGTGATGTCCAAAACACATGGACTTGGGCAGCAGTGGGATTTTTGGATGTCTGGGAGGGAGACTAATTGAGTTGGAAGTTGCATTTTTAATTGAGTGGACTAATTAGCCTCTTGCCAGATGCTGTTTCTCCAAATGAGACCATGGTGAGGACGGGCAGGTGTTGAGGGTCACATCCTGGGGACAGGCAGGTATTGGGGGGTCTCATCCTGAGGATGGGCAGGTGTTGGGGGTCACATCCTGGGGACAGGCAGGTATTGGGGGGTCTCATCCTGAGGATGGGCAGGTATTGGGGGTCTCATCCTGAGTGTGCCAGAGCTGGGCAGGTGGGGGGTGAGAGAGTTGCAGTTGAATTGCAGGGCTGCAGTTGCAGGAGCTGGAGAAGAGTCGCTGCTCTTGGGCTCAGAGCTCTGCCATCAATCCCTTGGTGGATTCCAGGTGAATTCCAGTCGAGGAGGATTGCAGCTGGGGGAGGCTTTGGGAGCCATCCTGCTGCTGGCCCAATTCCCCAGCCTCCCTGGGGGTGGCCGGTTTTGTTTGCTGGAGGCTGCCAGGGAGAAATTGAAATGTGCTGAGAGCTTTGAATTGCATCAATCTCACCCGTTTACCTGCAGCTCTTTGTTCGTGGGCACGGGCTTGTGCTCCTGGGTCACACACGGCTCATTCAGGCCACCAGCGTGGTCACAGCTGGCCACCAGCGTGGCCACAGGAGTGTCTGCACCTCCTGACCCTGCACTGGGCTCCTCAGGACCCAGTCCCTCCTGATATCCCATCCCTCTGCTTCCCTGTGCCCTCGATGCTGGCACCTGGCGATTTTCTCAGAACTGGAATTCTCGTGGCCTAAAGGATGGCACAGAAACACAAACCCCCAGCCCTGGGGAGCAGCAGGACGCTCCTGTGCCCACCCTGCCCTCCAGCGTGCTGCTGGTGGGCTGCCAGTGTGTGGCCAAGCCCTCCAGCCTTGCTAGGGCCGCGCTTCGTGCCTGTCCTCTTCTGCTGGTGTCAACACCCCTTGGCTGTCCCTGGCTCTGTCACTGCCGGGAAAGCGGCTCCAGATGATTTATGACACTTGGGGGCTCTGACTGGGGGGCACAGACCCCCCAAACCACGGTGCTTACAGTGGTTCCATCCTCTCCAGGCACTGGGAGCTGCACCCCTCCTGCCCCTAGCGCAGGGAAAAGCTGTGAAGGGTTTCCTCCCGGCCGCTGTCGTGGTGCTTTTTTATTGTTTGGAAAAGGAAGCACTTGGGTTTAATACTTCCCGCTCCAGCCGCCTTCCCAGCGCCCGGGCGGATGCTCGGGGCACCGGGGCGAGCGCGGCGAGCAGCGGGAGGAGCGCGGCTGTGCCGGTGCCTCCGCCCCGGGGCCGGCTCCGCATCCTTGGGTCGGTGCCCACGCCAAGGCCCCGCTTCCTGCCGCAGCCCCCGGCCCTTCCAGATGGGTTTGCTCAGCCTCTCCTCTGCCGGCCTGGAGCGTGTTTTCCCCAGGGAAGAGCGGATTTGGAGCCCGGCAGTGCTTACTCACCAGCGCCGTGCTCTCCTCCGCAGCCGCTCTGATGCCATCGGCCCCTGCCCAGCCCTACGCCCTTTCAGATGCATAAAATCCTGCATTTTCCTTTTTTCTGCAACTTACAGAAGTTAAAACCAGGGAAAGTAGGATCTCTGACCCGCAGGAACACCCTTGGAGCATCCGGTGGAGATGCCAAGGGGTCAGGCGGCATCTGGGACACAGCATCGGCTCAGGGATGACTGTGCCAATTCCTCTTTCACCATTTGTACCAGTTACAGACAGATGGGACATTTCACCGTGCCAGGGATGTTGTTCCAGTGGAGCAGCTGCCACCTGGAAGCCGTGCAGGACCTGCTTTTCCAGGGTGTGCTGTCAGGGAATCCCAAACCTTTCCCCTCACTGTGCTCGCTGTGCTGGGGAGGCAGTGGAGGACTGGAGCCGTGTCATGGGCTGGTTTATCTTGGTTTTGGGGACTGAGATGGGAATTGGTGACAGCCAACAGCTGTGGCAGGAGCAGGGCAGGGCCGTGGCGTTGTCAGGGGTTGTTATCCCTGGAGAGACCTTGAAGTCCCGGCAGATTGTGCTGTGTGATGGTGGCTCCGTGACCTTGTGCTTCCCCAGAGCTGGGAGATGCTCTGACATCCCTCAGGGGACCCAGGTCCCCAGGGGGACCTCAGGAGGTGACCTGGAGGCTTGGAACAGGTCTGGGTCTCTATGTCCTCATGCCCCTCTTGCTGCTCCCCAGCCTCTCAGAGCATCCAGCATCTCCTGGGGGGTGACAATTCCTGCCCTGGCTGGGGCAGGGCCCCCATGAGCCCTCAGTGAGGACCCACAGGTGTGGCCACTCCGAGGATCCCAAATCCCAGCTGGATCATCCCTGGCTGCGTTCACACGGGCAGGTGGAGCCGAATCCAGAGCAACTCCCCGCGCGGCCGCGCTGCTCGGGAATAAAAGTCCCTTTATGCCGGAATAATTAGTGTACTCAGAGCATGCTAATTATTCCAGGATAAAAGTGACTTTTATTCCAGCAGAGTGTCCTCTCAAAGGGCCCTTTCTGCCCGCTCCCGGGGCACAATAGCTGCTCTGCTCCGTTTCCCCATCCCAGACAAAGTCCTTATTTGCGGAGGCAGCGAAATTGAGTTGACTAATGAATTAAGGCCAATGGTTCTGGCCGGGCTCCAGCCCTTTGAAAGCCTTGGCGAGCTGATGCCCGGCCCGGCGGGAGGAAGCACGGACCCTCCTGCCCCACCGAGCCCCCGGCAGCCTCCCCTCCCCTCCCTCCCTCCCAGCTGCTGGGATGAAATGCCTATTAATCTATCCTGTGGAATTGCTTTATTCCCGGCGCAGGCAGAGCTCTGGAGGGAGCGTTATCAGCTCCAGCCACAGGCCATAAATAACCACGGCGGTGCAGAGCGCCGGATCCTGTTTGGGTTCCCAACTGCCCAGGGTATAAACATCCCTCTCCTATTGCCAGGATGGATACAGGGAATAAAGCCTGGGCAGGTAGGGGAGGTGAGGGGGCTCTGCAGGCGCGCTGCCCCCTCCCCACCCCTGCTTTGAGGAAGGAAAAAGGGGACACGGGGCACCCTGGCAGGGATGGCCACAGGCCAGGGCTGCCTGCAGCACATCCAACTGCACCCAGGGGACTTAAGCCCCTTTCTCCTGGCTGCAAATGCTTTTTTCTTTCCCTTTTTTCCTTCCTCCCCCCGCCCCCCCGGCTTTTTTTCTTTTTTTTTTTTCCTATTTAAATTGCAGATAAGCTGCCAAAAGAAAGATACCAAAAAAGCGGGATTCTCCCTTGAATCCCCTTCGGCTGCGGGGCTGGAGCTGCCCCTCCCCACCACAGTCGGGATGATCCAGCTATTTTTTTTTTTTTTTTTTTTTTATTATTATTATTATCCCCAGTTCTGGCAATGCCGGAGCTTTCGTTTCATCTGGCTCCATCTCCTGCCATTTTTCAGCTCGTTCTGCTGCGGACTCTCCATGGGGCTGGAGGCAGGAGGGGACGCGGGGGATCGCGCTCCGGCACGGCTCTCCCGGCTCCTGAATTTGGTTTAAAATGCAAATCTTTCCTTTATTCCCCGTTTTTTTTTTTTTTTTTTTTTTTTTTTAATGGATTTCATCTGAAGGCGGCGGAGCTGCTGGAGCCTGGGGAGCGGGAGGGGAAGGGGCTGGGCTGGGCGGGGGGGGGGAGCGCATTCCTCGCAGATTTCCTGGTGCGTGTTCACATGGAAATCGTCTCCCCCCGGATGCGTTTGAAGTCAGGTGACGGAGCTGCGGGATGGACGCAGCCCCGGGAGCCGCAATATGATTTTATCCCCCTTCCCCCTCCGCGGGGATGTTGTGGGCAGCTCCTGCTTCCATCTCCTGCCTCCCTTGGGATGTGCTCGCCCGTCCATCCTCCTCCTCCTCCTCCTCTCTGTCCCCCCCATCCTCGCTCTGCTCCTTTGTCTGGGTTTGGAGGCAGATCCTGGCTGCTGGGAATCCCATCCCAGTTGGATGGTGGGGGGTGCTGGGGGGCTGCTGGGGACCCTGGAGGTGTCACCTCTCCCTGCTCTGGTGCCTGGAGTGAGCTGGGTGTGACCCCAGAGGGGGACATTGGGATGGGGTACCCAGGGATCCAGTGGCTCCCAGTCCATGTCCCATGGGCAGGGATGGGTGTCCCTTGCCGTGGGGAGCATCCAGGTGGGCAATAATGGGAGAATGTGTGGAGCATGACCAGTGGGATGTGCTGGTGGGATCAGAGGATGGATGTCTGTCCTCTGATCCTGCCTGTCCCTCTGGGATGGAACAGGGGGGTGACAGCCCTGCCTGTACCCCAGGGTGGGTCTGGGGGCACGTGGGATCTTCCACTGCTTCCCACCAGCATCATCCCTTGATCAGGGCTGGGAACACAGGTAGAAACCAGGGATGGAAAACCAGAGAAACACCAGAATGCTGGGGCTGAGGTGATGACGGGGTTTGGTTTTGGTTGGATTTGTTGTTGTCTCCTTGGGGATTCCAAAAAGGGAGAAAATCAGAGTGAACCCTGTCCAGGGCCCATCTGAGCACCCACATCCAGCCAGAGCCTGTCCAGAAATGGCACAGAGCTGCCATTCCAACACCTCTGGCACAGCAGAACCAGGCTTCCCTTCTCCAAATCATCTTTTATTTTGTTGTTTAAGGAAGGTGAATGCCTCGTGATCCCAATGCCGTAGTCCGACTTGAAGGGAAAAGGGAAAAACCGTATTTTAAAGTCAATATTTACTTAGCAATCGGGCGTCCCCCTCCCCCAGCCTGGCTGCATACCTGCGGCTTTCCCGGCGGGAATGGCCAGGAGCCCCGAGCCCTGTCGGTCCTGGAAGCTCTGGAGCAGGGATCTGGTTTGAATCTTCCCTGTTCGGAGGGGGCCGGACGGAAGAATTGCAAAAATGCATTTGAACTGTTTTTGGGATGGTGTGTTTAAATGCAAAACAAACAGCTGAGCTTTCCTTTCCCTTTCCCCCCTGGAAAAATGTGCCTCAAACCTGAGGGTTTGGTATTTTAAATGTCTCTATTACCCGGTTCAGCTTTTGGGAGCCGGAAAATTTAGTGGATTTGGGGTTTGAGGATCAGCCTCGAGGCCCAGACCAGGGAGGAGGGAGCAGGATGGGCTCCAAGCTTTGGTCTTCCCAGCATCTGCCCTGAGGCTGCAGAGAAACTCCAGGACACTGGAAGTTCTGAAAACATAAAAAAGGAACAAATCCTGTTTTTTTCTGTAGTTTGAGGACAAAAGGTTGATGATGTGGAGGAGAGAAATGAGGCCTCAGGTGGCTGATGTGGTTTTGGTGGGTTTTGTGTGTTCAGTGTGGTTGAGTTTGTGTCTTGGGTGACTCGAAGGCTCCATGTCACAGATTCCAAGCTGGCACTGGGAGAGTCCCCATGGGGGCCATGGGTTTGGGAAGAGTGGCCATGAATTTCAGCCTTGATCCACGGGGAAGGAGGAAGAGGAGGAACGTTGGGATGAAGATGAGGAGCTGCCAAAAGAAAGGCCGAGATGGCCCCAAACACAACACCCTGCCTTGTTTTGGGGGTGCTGCAGCCATGTAAGCTGGGGATGGAGACCTGGAGGAGCACAGAGTGGGAATATTTCCCTCTGGAGTGGGTTTATTCCCTCCCTTTTGTGCTCCCTTCTCCCCCAGAACATCTGGTTTGTGAATCGAGCCCATCCCAGCCCGTATTTATGGCCAGCGCCGTTTCCTGGCCGGACGCCTCCTCCCGAGGAGAGGAGGAGGAGGAGCTGGGCTGAGGAGGAAGCAGGGCAGGAGTTCCTTCATATTTTTGTACTTTACTTCCAGTCTGACCAGGTTTTTATATCGTCCTCATTCAAGGACTGAAGGTCACGGCAGCTTTTACTCCAGGATCTGCTTCTCCACCTCTCCAACAGCCCCGTTTTGGTGTCCATTTCTTATTTGAGGCAAAAAATCAGATTTTTTTTGGTGTTTGTGTTTGCCAACCCCTTTCCCAACCCATCACGCTCCAACAAAGCTTCCAGCTGTCCATGGAATTCTGGTGTCAAGCCCTTGGTCCCATTCCCACCTGGGGAGATGCTGCTGGGATGTCTGTCCCCACCCTGTCCTGGAGAGCAATCCTCTCTCTTGCACCTAAAAGGCTTTTTTTGGACCTTTTATTTGGATCACTTTGGTTTTGGATCTTTTTTGGGTTTAGGCCTTTTAGTATTTGGGCTTTTCTGTTATTCCAGCCTTCTGGAGGGCCCTTTTTTTGGAGGGTCTTTTTTTTGGCCTTTTTTAACCCCATTTTTGGGAGGCCCTTTTTTTGAAGTAGCGCCTTTTTTAGGAGTAGGACTTTTTTTGGGGGACCTCTTTTTTCGTGTGCCTTTTTGGGGAGGCCCTTTTCTTATGTTCCTTTTTTGAGTTCCTTTTATTTCTCCACTTTTCAGATCCCTTTTTTTTTTCTTCTTCTTCTTCCCACATTTTAGTGCCCTTTTCCCCAATTTTTTCTACTTTTGGACCATCCTTTGAGTTGTTGTTTTTTTTTTTTTTTCTCCCCCTGCCATTCCCCTCATCTTTCAGCTATTTTGACGAACTTCTGCCGTGTTTTTAGCGCAGTTTTGTCCCCTTTGAGTTCTCTTTTGAGCTGGGGTCTCTCCTGTGGCTGCCAAGGCAGGGACGTGTCCCTGCAGCTGCCCCGGCCCCGCTCTGAGCCGCCCATTGTGCGCTGATGAAGGCGCCTTTATTCCCCAGCCCGGAGCTGGAGCTCCGCTGCCATCGCTGCCTCTGCTGGGCTCGGGAAGGGAATTTGGCTCTGTGTGAGGGATGATGAACAGAGACACCTTCTCTCATTGTCCACCTGGCACTGAGGGCGTTGAACTCGCTGGGAATGAGCTGTGCAAGGACAGGGATGTGTGGGGTTGTCGAGGATCTCGGGGAGCATCGCCTTCCATCCTCTCCCTGCCCTGAGCTGTGGTGCCTTTTCCTGTGGTTGGGAACGGTGGAAGGGATGGATTTGGGTGGGTTTGGGTGCCTTGTGGTGGTGAGGAGCTCTCTGGGATCATCCTGCCTGAGGTGTCCTCAGGACAGTGTGTGTCAGTGATTGGAGGGGATCCCATGTGTTCCTGCTCTGCTTTGGGAAACCAGGAGCTTGTTTTGCACTGGAGATGCCAATCTCCAAATGCTTTGGCCCTGGAGCAGGGATGCTCGAAGGAGTCATCACTCAGCACCAGCATCTCCGTGCTGAGCATTCCCAGCTCCAGGACCAAAGCATTTGGAGATTGGCGTCTCCAGTGCCAAACGAGCTCTTGGTTTCCCATCCCACGAACTGGTTGGGAATGGGTTCCCAGAGATTTGCCCTCCTGTAGCTCTGCCTGCTCTTTGGGAAGTGAAACCTGTGGGTTCCAGCGGCTGCCCGCAGCCGTAGGTCACGCTGTGGCTGCTGGAGACCTGGGAGGATGAGGAGGAGCAGGAAATCCAAGAGAGTGTCAGTTCTTTGCTGTGGTTTTCTTAATGAATCCTGCCTTGGATGTGCCTGTGGCTGGGAGATGGAGGCGTCAGATGAGCTCTGCTGGGAAGAGGGGGTGGAAGGGCTGGATTTGGAGCAGAGCCGGACCAGGAGGATCCTGTCCCTGAGCCTGGTGGGAGGAAGGGGACAGGCTCGGGCTGTGCTCTGGCCTAGGAAGGTGGAGGGGAAGGACAGGGGTGCTCCATCCATTTTAATCTGTCCAGTCTCCATCTTGGCTGTGCTGAGCTCCTGCCGTGGTGGTGCCAAGCAGCAGCTCCCAGACTGCTGGTGAGCAGGGAAGGAAGGGAGGCAGGGAAAGAAGGGAATCAGGGAAGGAAGGGAGCAGGGAAGGAAGGGAATCAGGGAAGGAAGGGAGCAGGGAAGGAAGGGAAGCAGGGAAGGAAGGGAAGCCGGGAAGGAAGGGAGCAGGGAAGGAAGGGGAGCAGTGAAAGAAGGGAAGCAGGGATAGAAGGGAATCAGGGAAGGAAGGGAAGCAGGGAAAGAAGGGAGCTGGGAAGGAAGGGAAGCAGGGGAAGCAGGGAAGGAAGGGAGCCAGGGAGGAAGGAAAGCAGGTTGGCAGGAGGAGCCGTGATCCCATCAGAGCAAACGGCAGCAGGCAAAGCCCTGTGCAGCTCCAAGGAGTAATCAGGGTTGAGACAGGGTGGGAAGTTTCCCCACTTCAGAGATGGCGTTGGGATTAGGGACAGCATCATCCCCATCCTCTCCTCTTGCTGTGAGCAGCCCCAAGGCAGGAGGAAGACGCAGACACAGAGACCCCCCCCTTTCCCGGGCTGAGCAGGAAGTGAAGTGGATCCTGGGAGCGGGGAATTTGGCAGGAGAGCAGGGATGCCACGAGATGAATGTTTTGGGAGTTGCGTGTGTGGCTGCCTTTGCTTGAGCAAGGGCTCACAGTTGTGTTGGGTTTGCAAGAGCTCTGGCCACCCCCAAGGCTGGGGCTGGGCAGTGACC